CGAGGAGGGCCTTCTCGAGGAGGTCGACGGTGAGAGTGGTGGGACAGACTGCGAGAAAGTGGTCCCTGACTACGCGGAGGGAGTCAGGGAGGCGTGCGACTACGTAGTAGAGAGTGATGTACATGGGGGGGGGGTTCTTAGCGCAGAACTCAGCAGGAAGGGCGGCGCGGTAGCGAGTGTCACTAGTGCGGAGGTGCGTAATGAGGTCAGCGACAGTGGGAAAGGCAGAGAGGTCAGGAAAGAGGTAGGGAAGCATGAGACGGCTCAGTGCAGCAGTGGCAGGAGAGGAGTAGCGTGCAACTACAGCGTCGTACAAGGTCTGAGCACTCTTGTACTGACTAAAATGCGCACGCTCAGAGGTAGGGAGGTGGCGACGCACAGCAAGACGTGCAGCAGCATCGCGGGTGGCCCACTGAGAGCGGACAGTGGGATCAGCATCGGCAGCAGGAGCAGGAGAGGCGCCAGAGGTGAGGTCAAAGAGAGAAAGGCTGTCAGCTCTGTCGCACTGTAAGAAAAGCTGCAGGTCATCTAGCCAGACCTCAAAATCAATGGCGCGACCCTCGGCGTCAAAGGCTAGGACACTAGGGGTGGCCATGATGACGACAGCGAAGCAGTGCAAGCAGTAGGGAAAGAGGGCGCAGCGACAGAGGGACTGTGCCCACCAGGCAGGGCAGGCCGTGCAGCTCGACAGAAAAGCAGAGCGGCGACCGGGCGGCTCGGGTGTACAGCTGCTCAGCTCCCGGGCGGCTCGGCGGCAGGGCGGCTCGGGTGCAGGGCGGCTCGGCTCCCGGGCGGCTCGGCGACGGACGGCTCGGGTGCAGGGCGACTCGGCTCCCGGGCGGCTCGGCGACTGGGCGGCTCGGCTGCCCGGCCGCCCGACTGCTGCAGGTGAGGCGGCGGGGTCGCGTAAGAGAACCGGGGCGGGGCCGCGAAGGGGCCGGCGGTAGGGCCGCGTAGGAGCCGGGGCAGGGCCGCGTTGGAGCCGGCGGCAGGGCCGGCGGTAGGGCCGGCTTAGGAGCCGGGGCAGGGCCGCGTTGGAGCCGGCGGCAGGGCCGCGCAGGGGTCGGCGCAGGGCCGAGCAGAGGCCGGCGGCAGGGCCGCGTAAGGAGCCGGCGGACAGGGCCGTGAAGGAGCCGGGACGGGGCCGCGTGAGAGCCGGCGCGGGGCCGAGTAGGAGCCGGCGGCGGGGCCGCGTAGGAGCCGGGGCAGGGCCGCGTAGGAGGCCGGCGCGGGGCCGCGTAAGGGGCCGGCGCGGGGCCGCGTAAGGGGCCGGCGCGGGGCCGCGTAAGGGGCCAGCGGCGGGGCCGCGTAAGGGGCCGGCGGACAGGGCCGCGTAGGAGCAGGGGACGGGGCCGCGTAGGAGCCGGCGCGGGGCCGCTTAGGAGCCGGCGCGGGGCCGCGTAAGGGCCGCGTAAGGGGCCGGCGCGGGGCCGCGTAAGGAGCAGGCGGCGGGGCCGCGTAAGGGTCAGGGCGGGGCCGCGACAGAGTGGGCGGCGAGGCCGCAGGGGAGAGGGCGACTCGAGGGGTCGCTAAAAAAAAAACCGCGCCTCGGGGCGCGCTTCGGTGGGCCCAAAAAAATAATCGGTCCTGGAGGGACCTAGCTCTATACCATGTGAAACAATGAGAAGAGGAATGAAATGACTAAGTCAGAAATTGGTACAAATAACAAACCCTAGGAATCTGTACCCCATATGTGCTACCCCACTACAGCCTACAAACATGTATCAGCTATAATGTTCTGACAGGTAGGTGAGCCAGCGAAGCTCTTGTGCAGCCACGGCTCCTGCGTAGATCTCAGCCTTACAGCTGGAGCCAAGAACAGAAGACGAGCGAGTAGCCCGCCACGAAACAAAGCCGGAACCAAGACTGAAGGTGTAGCCCTGTGACGACCGCTGCGTAGCCTGGTCGTCAGCCCAAGAAGCGTCTGCGTGCCCAGTAAGGACCACTGGACTCTGCCCTCCAAGCACAAGCCCCATGCCCGGCGTACTGCACAAGTAGCGCAACACCCTCTTCGCTGCAGCCATGTGCTCTGGTCTGTGTCTCCCAGGAGCAACATAGCGTGCAAGAATGCTTAGAGGGTATGCAAGGTCAGGTCGTGTGTAGGTCATCACGTACATGAGGCAGCCAACAAGCTCTGGGTACGGGCCACTCGACTCTACGGACTCATCCGAAGGCAGAGCTGAGAGCGAGTGGCGAGTAGGCAGAGGAGTGGCTTGAGGCGAGGAGTACGTGAAGCCGAAGCGCTGAAGGACCTGCTGCACCATGTGTGACTGAGTCAGGGTAATGGTGCAGCGTGCTCTGTCCCGAGTGATCTGCAAGCCAAGGTAGCTGCGCAGTTCATCCAGGTCAGTGCACGTGTGTCTCTTCTGCAGCTCGGACTTCACGTGGGCGAGTCCAGCAGTGTCAGTTGTTGCAAAGACCAAGTCGTCGACCTACACGAGGATGTAGAACGGCGGCAAAGAGGTGTCGGTGCGCAGAAACAGCGACGGGTCGGCAGTAGAGGGAGCAAACCCAAGAGCCGCAAGTGTAGTCCTCACTGTGTCGTGCCACTCACGGGGTGCCTAGCAGAGACCGTAGACTGGCCGCCGGAGGCTCCACTGGGTGCCAGGAGGAAAAGACCCAGTGAAACCAGGTGGGTGACGCAGCTAGATCTCCTCGTGCAGGCTGCCCTGCAAGAAAGCAGTGCTGAAGTCAAGAGAGTGTAGCTCCTAGTCACGGTGAGCAGCTATGTGCAGCAATACCCGAAGAGTGGTCATCTTCGGGGTGGGAGAGAAGGTATGAAAGTAGTAAACTCCCTGCCGCTGACTGAAGCCACGAGCCACGTAACGCGCCTTGAAGACAGGCGGAGAACCCGGCGGTTGCTTCAGCCTGAAAATCCACATGCCACTGACGATGTTCGCCCCAGGAGGGGGAACAGCGTCAACGTAGGTGCCTGTGGAATTCCAGGAAGCCATCTCTGCGTCCATAGCTGCTTGCCACTGAGAGGAGTAGGGATCCTCTATCGCCTCCGCGTAAGAGCGCGGAGTCGGGATGTCAAGTGCATCCGGGTCACCCTCAGGGGTAAGCAGTACGGACACGAGATGAGGTGAAGCAGCGGCCAAGCACTGGAACTCCTCCTGCCTGTCCTCAAGGACGTCCGTGCCAAGGGCACACTCACCCCCGACGGACGGAGGTTAGACAGACTCAGACTCAGCAACAAGACTGGCGGCGTAGTCTAGGCGACAGCGAGCACCAAAGTCGACAACCTCAACAACTAGGGCACACGCAGCAGTGGACTCAAAGGAAGGGTCAGTGACGACAGTAGCAACGAGACGTGTGACAGTAGGACTCGCACCACGAAGAGAGTCCGACTCCGGGTCGGCAAGAGCAGGAAGAGAAGACTCAGGAGTAGAAGGCAAAGGGGCATGCAGAGGAGAAGTGGACGGACGCAGAGACATCCGATGCGTGCCAGGGACAGGAGGAGGAAGCTGACGCGAGCCGCGACCACTAGTGCGAGCAGTACGGACAGGCGACGCAGGGCGAGACGCAGGCTCACGACGCTCAGCAAGACCTCCATTAGGACCAGTGTAGGGAGACGGAGCAGGCAGTGGGGAGGCTGGCTGTAACTGTAACTGGGACGGAACAGGCTGTGGACACTCTAAGGGAGAAGGAGGACCAGTAGAAGACGGGAGACCAAGAACCTGCTGAAGGAGCGGAACGAAATACGGCCGAGGCCGCGCGGCGACTCCAGACACAGCAGGGACAGCACCAGCACCACCAGTGGCAGCACCAGCACCAGTAGCAGCTCCAGCTCTAGTACCCCCAGCAGCACCAGTAGTACCCCCAGCAGGACCGCCTCCAGGACCGACAGCAGTAGCCTCCGCGCCAACACCCGCAGCTGCTCCAGCTCCAGAAGTACCCGCAGGTCCAGCAGCTCCAGTACTCCCTGTACGAGCACCTCCGGGACCCGTGGCACCAGCTCCCTTAGCAGCAACAGAACCTCCAGTACCCGCAGCACCTCCAGCTCCAGCAGCTCGCCTCCATCGCCGGGAAAACCACTCACGCAGCTCCTGTGGAGAGAGTGGTTCCCTGCGAGAAGAAGCACCCGGAGAACCGCCAGGCACAGCACCAGCAGGCCCAGTTCCCTCAGGCTCCGCACCCCCAGGCTCAGCAACTCCAGGCGTAGCACCCCCAGGCTCAGCACCCCCAGGTTCAGCACCCCTAGGCGTAGCACCCCCAGGCTCAGCACCCCTAGACTCAGCACCGCCAGGTTCAATACCCCCAGTCGTAGTACCCTCAGGCTCAGCACCCCCAGGCGTAGCACCCACACGCTCAGCACCCCCAGAGTCAGCACCCCCAGGCTCAGCACCCTCAGCAGCACCAGAGTCACCAGCGACCTCGACACGCTCAACAGCGTCTACCTGGGACACACCTGAAGGGGCAGGACCCTGAGGGGGGAGGGGGTCTACCGGGGGGGGACCTGGTACAAGGAAGAGCGGTGGCGGGGGGACGGACGGAGTGTGGTAGGGGAAGAGGCGGTAGTAGGGGACCGACTCGTCGAACGTGACGTCCTGGGAGGACAGAACTGCCACCCTTGGGCGTCAGGGGGGAAACCCTGGAAGACGCAAGGAGCAGCACGAGGGGACAGCTTGTCCGCAGACAAGTCGCGGACAAACGCCCGAGATCCCCAGACACGGAACGCAGACGCATCGCCAACCTTCCCCGTCCACAGCAAAGCTGGGGAGGTCTCCGGCATGGAGACCCTGGGCTGAAGGTTGATCTGATGCGCCGCGTACCGGACCGCAAACGGCCACAGAAAATGGGGGGCAGACGCATGCATCATGAGGGATCTTTGTGGCCTCTGGGAACTAGTGACGCCAAGCGTCCGTCAGGCGGCCAAAGCAGCGGTGGGTGGGTTGTGCACCCCCAGACTGCTCACCCGCGCGGTCGCCGGTGCGCAGTATGTAGGTACACGGACCAGTACCCCCACCCCGCTGGCGTGCAGCGTACCATTCACGGAGCTACTGTGGGGACAGGGTCTCCCGACTGCGCTGCTGCTGCTGGCGCTGACCACCACCGGAGCCACTCCTCTGCGAAGAGCCACGACCTCCTCCTCCTCCTCCTCCGCCACCGCCTCCTCCACCTCCGCCACCTCCACCACCTCCGCTCCCACCGCCACCGCCGCCGCCTCCGCCTCCACTGCCGCCACCGACACCTCCACTCTCGCCACCACCCCCACCGCCACCCCCACTCCCTCCGCCGCCTCCACCGCCGCCTCCACCGCCCCCGCTAGCTCCTCCAGCGCCCCTGCCCCCCTTGCCCTTGCCAGAGCGGCGTCTCCCACTAGGGGTAGACGCCGCACCGACCGACTCAAGCCCAATGAGGTCGGCCGCAGCAGCAGAGGCAATAGAGGGCAAAAGGGGGGAGAGGGAACACCCCTCAAAGATGGGGGTGCGCGGGTCACCACGAGAGGCTCCTACAGCGACTATGCTCTGCTCCGCTGCTAGGAGGGCCTTCTCGAGGAGGTCAACAGTGAGAGTGGTGGAACAGACTGAGAGAAAGTGGTCCCTGACTATGCGAAGGGAGTCAGGGAGGCGGGTGACTATGTAGTAGAGAGTGATGTACATGGGGGGGGGGGGGTTCTTGGCGCAGAACTCAGCAGGAAGCGCAGCGCGGTAGCGAGTGTCACTAGTGCGGAGGTGCGTAATGAGGTCAGCGACTGTGGGAAAGGCAGCAAGGTCAGGGAAGAGGTACGGTAGCATGAGGCGGCTCAGTGCAGCAGTGGCAGGGGAGGAGTAGCGTGCAACTACAGCGTCGTACAAGGTCTGAGCACTCTTGTACTGGCTTAAGTGCACACGCTCAGAGGTAGGCAGGTGGCGACGCACAGCGAGACGTGCAGCAGCATCGCGCGTGGCCCACTATGAGCGGACAGTGGCGTCAGCATCAGCAGCAGGGGCAGGAGAGGCACCAGAGGTGAGGTCAAAGAGAGAGAGTCCGTCCGCCCTATCGCACTGTAAGAAAGGCTGCAGGTCATCTATCCAGACGTCAAAGTCAATGGCCCGACCCTCAGCACCAAAAGCGAGGACACTAGGGGTAGCCATGACAGCAGTAGATTAGCAACGCGAACAGAAGGGTGAGGGCAGTGCAGTGACAGAGGCGCTGCCCTTACCAGAGAGGGCGGCTCGGGTGGCTCGGCTGTAGGGCGACTCGGCGGCTCGGCAGCTGGGTGGTAGGCTGCTCGGCAGCTGGGCGGCTCGGCTGCTGGGTGGCTCGGCGTCTCGCCTGCTGGGCGGCTCGGCTGCTGGGCGGCTCGGTGGCTCGGCTGCTGGGTGGCTCGGCGGCTCGGCTGCTGGGCGGCTCGGTGGCTCGGCTGCTGGGCGGCTCGGCGGCTCGGCTGCTGGGCGGCTCGGCGGCTCGGCTGCTGGGCGGCTCGGCGGCTCGGCTGCTGGGCGGCTCCGCGGCTCGGCTGCTGGGCGGCTCGGCGGCTGGGCGGCTCGGGGGCTCGGCTGCTAGGCGGCTCGGCCGCTCTGCTGCTGGGCGGGTTGGCGGGGCCGCAAAGGAGGCGGCGCAAGGGCCTTTTAGAGGGCGGCGTCCGGGGCCGCTGAGAGGAGGCGGCTGGGCCGTCGAGAGGAGGCGGCGGGGCCGCTCAAGGAGGTGGCGGGGCCGCTGAAAGGGCGGCGACGAGGCCGTATCAGGGGTAGTGGCGGGGGCGCTGAAAGGAGACGGCGGGGCCGCTGAGAAGGGCGGCGACGGGCCGCTGAAGAGGGCAGCGACAGAGCCGTAGGGAGGGCGGCGACGGGGCCGCTGGTGAAAGGGCGGCGAGGGGGCCGGAGGGGGAGAGCGGCGACGGGCCGCGAAGGGCGGCGGATCGGGGCTGCAAGGGCGGCGGATCGGGGCCGCAAGGGCGGCGGATCGGGGCCGCAAGGGCGGCGGGTCGGGGCCGCAAGGGCGGCGGATCGGGGCTGCAAGAGGCTGCTAGGGGGTCGTGATGGCGGCTAGGGCGGCGCGACGCGGCCGTTAGGGCGGCGCGACGCGACCGCTAGGGCAGCGCGACGAGGCCGCGAGAGGCCGCTAAGGGCGACGCGACGGGGCCGTGAGGGGCCTAGCGAGGGCGCGACGGTAAGGAAAGCACACGAGGCGCGACTCGGGCCTAAGCGGAGCGCCCTCCGGGCAGGAAAATAATTTCGTAGTGGTGGGCCCTAGGAATCGTTCCCGTTAGGGAACCTGCTCGATACCATGAGAAGAAACGAGAATGAATGAACTATGAATGAATTGGGTACAAGTACTAACCCTAATTGGGTTGTACCCCTTATGGGCTACCCCACTATAGCCTACACAATATGCATGAGCTATAATGTTCTGACATTCTCCCCTTCAGGTCGCTTCAGGTACTGTGCGAGCTGGCTTGCGACGTAGGAGAGATCGGGCCGGCACGTGACGGCGGCAAACAGTAGACATCCCAGCTGCTGCTGATAGAGACGATGGTTGTCGGGAGAGAGCGGTGTGGTGTCTGGCTCGTGGTTAGGAGGAGGAGTGCGATAGGGGGTAGTGAGGTTGATTGGTGCGATGAAGAAGCGCTTCGCGAGTGTTTCGGCGTACTTGGCGGCAAAGAGGTGAATGGAGGAGGCGGACTGAGTCACATTGAGGCCGAGAAACTGGGTGACATTGTGATTGATTGTCACTTCCAGTTTCTCTTTGATGTCGGCCTCAAACTGGTCCAGCAGCTCCGTGTCGTCGCCGGTGCAGAGGAGGTCGTCGACGTAGGCAACGAGGAGTATGAATTTCACGCGCGATTCTCGTCTGTACATTCCGAGGTCGTGCGGCAGCTGAGTGAAGCCGAGCTCAAGGGGGACGGAATGGAGGTACTGCTGCCAAAGACGAGGCGCCTGCTTGATTCCGTAGAGGGATTTTTGGAGGAGGCATACGGCGCCATCATTTTCTTCGAATGCGTGCGGCTGCTCGACAAAAATGATGGCATCGACGGGAGCGTAGAGGAAGGCGCTGCCGACGTCGATTTGCCGGAGCGGTCGCTGTTTGACGGCGGCGATGCAGATGAGAATGCGTACCGGGGTGTGGCGGCCGACTGGAGCGTAGGTGAGAGTGAAATCCACCAGGTGTGTTTGCTCAAATCCCCGCACCACCCAACGCGCCTTGTACTTGTCAACCGAGCCATCTGCGAGAGTTTTGATACGAAAAACCCATTTGCCGCTGAGAATTCTTCTCCCCTTTGCCGATGACCGAGGGACCAACTTCCAGGTGCCACGATTCTTCAGCGATGCGATTTCGGCGGCCATGGCTGCTTTCTATTTTACACTGTCGGGGCCAGATAGGGCTTGGCGGACGGTGGTTGGTTCCTTGGGCGAAGTGTAGCAAACAGCCACGGCGAGGCCGAGAACGCGGAGACCGGTTTCGTTAGTCTTTTCGTAGTGAAGTCGATCATAGTCGTGGAAGCTGGTAACTTCGACCACGTCGTCATCGCTGTCGTTGCCGAGGCGGAGGGTATCCTGCGACATGTTGGGTTGTGGTAACTCGGCATCAGGTGATCGGCGCGCCTCACTATTGTAGTCATGAGCCGCGCGAGTTGTATCGTTAGGATCGGGTTGGTGTAGAGGTACAAATATCGGAGTTCCGAATTGGCTTGTGAGAGGGATGCTTGGAGCGGAGTCCATTGGGGTGACATCAGGTGCGTCTGCATCCTCGGCCAGGTCAGCTTCGTCGTGTGACGTGGCGAAGCTGCGGTGGCCCTCGAAGAGCCTCTCGGGAAGTTTGTCGGCTTCCTGGTGCTCCTTAAAAAGGGGCAGAGTCAGCTTCTCGTAGAAGATGCAGTCACGTGATTTCGTCACCTCATGTGTCGCGTAGTCCAGCACGATCCACGCATTGAATTCCTTCTCGATTACGAGGTGGAGGCCCCATCGTGCCCGGTCGGCAAATTTTCCGGTTCTTGCAGTGTGGGGTCTGTACTGTACCATGCAGCCAAATACCCGAAGCAGGCGTGTATATGCTTTTCTGCCCGTCCATGCCCGGTAGGTGGAGTTGTTGTTTTCGAGGCTTCGCGAGGACAGCAAGTTGTGCAGCCGAACAGTGTGATTCATCGCAAATGGCCAATATTTTGTTGGGATGGCCGACTGCTTCATCAGAGCCCTCATCCGCGTGGCGAGGCTTCTGTTTGTCCGTTCTGCTACTCCTTGCTATTGGTGAGCGTAGGGCAGGGACACAAGGTGCTCAATCCCCTTCTGCTTGAGGAGCTCCTTGAACTCGTCTGAGAAGAACTCCAGGGCTTCGTCCGTCTGCCAGGTTTTGAGTTTGAGACCGGACTGTCGCTCAGCCCGCTTCATCCACGCAATGAAGCACTCGAAGGCCAAAGACCTGCTGTCGGTGTTGACGGCCCAGACGTAGCGAGTAGATGCGTCGATGAAGGTAAGTGTGTACTGCTCCCCGTCGGGCCCCTCCTGGCTGAGCACCATAAAGTCGTTGTAAACCTTGTCCAGCGGCTTGTAGCGTTCATACCCTGGGGGCAAGTCGGGGAACGGCTGGTGATTGAGCGATGCGGTTGGGCAGACGATGCATGGCGGGTTAGGTGAGTCCGCGGTGAGGGAATCGTTTCAAGGAAGGAGGAGCGCGTCGTTGTCGAAGAATCCGGCCTTGAGCGAGTTTTTGAGCGTGGCGTGGGAGGGATGGCCGAGCCGTTGGTGCCATGTTTTGTTGGTGCAACCCTATGGTTTGCACTCGGCTTGTTGTCCGTATGCATGCATGTGTGTGTGTATGGAATGGTATGAGGGCATGGGATAATATATATTTCATGCTCATAATTGTGTGTGAATGTTGAGTCATGATGTCGAGTGTGTGTGTCGAGTCAATAGCGAGTTATCGCTAGACGCGTGTTACGCGGTCGTTTGTGTCTCGCGCGCGGTTTCTATTTTTGTCGTGCGCGGTTTCTATTTTGTCCTGTGTCGAACGTTCAGAGTGTCGCAGGTGTGTGCAGCAGACCCATCAAGAACTCAAGGATGAGTTTGTGATGAAGAGCCCAATTCTTGGTGTCAAGCCTCAAGTGATTTCGAAGCTCGCCAAAAGGGTACACCTCAAGATATTGAAGATAGTTACATTACTTTGTGTAGTGTAACATTTCACTTGGTGTAGGCCCTAGTGAAGGGTAGTTTCGAGACCCTTCGTGGTTGGGGACAGTGTGGCACTGTTCTACATCACTGTACCTCGGCTCTTGGGGTTTGTAGGAGCTGGGAGTCATTCCCAACTCGTAACTCTTCCTAACTCTTCCTATCTTGTGTTCTAAGACTATAGTGGCTGCCATAGTGCCGTTCGTTCAAACCGACACTGTGTCGTCAATACTTGGTGAAATTGTGCGATCTAAATTGCCTATTGTAGGCGACGTTCAGACGCTCCAGATCCAAGTTGAATCAGGTCATTTGAAGCTGTGACCAGAACGCTATGAACGTTTGACGCCGCTGTGCAGAAATCCGGCCTTGCACTCTATCTTTCGTTTTAGGCACATTGGAGCCTATTGTGACTATAACATGTTTCTGGGTCCGCACGGTAACCGACTGTCTTTTGATAATGTTTTTGTCGTGCTGCTTCGTCGTTTGCCTCCCCTTCAGGTCCTGCGTCGGTGGCGGAGTCGGTGTCGGCGGCGAGTGCGCGAATTGCTTTTCGCTCCAGAAGCACGCCGGGAATACCGATGATGTCGTCGGTGTCGCCGGCTTCGACTTGGTCTCCGGTAACGAGCAAGCATTGGTTGGGCCATTCCCGAACTGGGAGTCCCTTCACAGGGATTCTGAAGTAATTGTATTCAGAGCCGATGACCTCAATTTCTTGTGGTCCTTGTACTGGCGGCTCCGGCTCCTCGGTAGGTTTGGGTAACTCTGTTGGTTCTCCCATAAATTCGTAGGCTTCTTCTTCTTCTGACTCTTTTGCCATGTGCTCGGGTGTGTTAGGGGCGTATTGATCTGGGAGAGGTGGACCTCCCCAGCAGGTGCCGCGAGTTGCCCAGTATGGGTCGACGACGGCAACTTCCGCAGGAGGAAAACCAGCTGCTTCCGCGCGCCTTTGTTCTGCTTCGGCCGTGGTGTCCCATCCTCCTCTGGCGCCC